TTTCCTCTCTTTTTTTTGGGTTAAAAAAGAAGACCCGGCCCAAAACAAAGCTTCACCCGTTTTTTCCAATCCGCAAAACCCTAACAACTTCACTCACACACAGTTCTCTCCATCTTACAGTTCTTCGTATTTTGCTCGCTCACAGTACGAAGAACAGTGGATAACAACAATGGCGTCCAGCGATCAAACAGCGTTGCAATTTTCGGCATCATCAGCAAGCTTATCGGCTAAAGTTCATCCTTTGGTCATTTTCAACATCTGCGATTGCTTTGTGAGGCGACCTGACCAAGCCGAGCGTATCATTGGCACTCTTCTCGGTTCTGTATTACCTGATGGTACTGTTGATGTTAGGAATTGTTATGCTGTTCCGCACAGCGAGTCTCAAGATCAGGTTTGCCTCTCATTACTGCAAATTCTCTTAATTTTAGTCCGTTTTAGATTGATTTTACTGGAATGAATCGGAAATGAGCTGTATTTCGTTTGTAACTCTTTCTCTCTGTTTGAATGATTTTTGTGTAATTTTTGATTAGCGAGAGTAAATTTTCAGTCAATTTTTCGAAGTTAGAGAATGTTATTGTTGCTTATATTACTTTATTGATAAAATATGGCTGATTAGGGTGCATATTGTGTTTGTGCATGGTAATTGTGTCCATGCAAATACTGAGTGAAAATACATAGAGAAAGGAATATATTTTGTAGGAATGTAGTTGCATTTTGGTAACCTTGTCTGATATTTTTACTAGTTTATAGATCTTGTTAACTTAGTGTGTGTCAATTTGAATTTTATTTTTTGCTTTAGAGCTTAATAGTTCAGGTGTGTCGAGCCAATCAGTATGAGAAGAAACTTAATGTGTATTAATTCAAATGGAGAAGGGTATGGCGGCCATTTTGCACCGTATTTTACTGAGGTGCAGTAAACGAAGAAAACTTAAGGTGTATTAGTTAGAAACTAGATAATTCATTTTTGCTGTCATTGCAAAGGAAGGGCTTATTTGGTAGGTCGGGTGGGGGTGGGGCAGAGTTTCAAGAGAAGATGAAGGACTCTTTGCAGCAACGTGTATTCTGTAATCTGAATCCTTATTGCTAGTTTGTGGCTTGAGTTAACCTGTAAATATCACCAGTATTACAATTTGTACAATATAAGAGTTATATCTGGTCCTTGATCTGTCTTAACCATATCTAAGAAGTAATCAGTCATCAGATAATGGATCCATTTATCCAGTGCTTTTCACTGGAGTGACAACATAAACTCATGGAGTGACAGTCCAACTAATAAAGACCTTAATGTTTACCAAATTCTGATATGTTAGTTGTTTCAGTTTTCTTTCTTCACTCTTAGTTACAGTTGTTACGTTAATTGATTGCAATTAAGCTCCTTCCTCATTATATTTCTAAAAGAAGAAATTTCACATAGAAAGTGTAGAGATGAAAATGCAAAGAAAGAGACAATGAAAAATAGTTGAAGCTATGTAGACGTATCAAACTAATACACCAAAGATTTGTTTGGACAAAACTGTTAGCAAGGTTTTGGAATAGGTACGAAACAATAGATGTTTTAGGCTTGGGCACATGAATTAAGGAATTCACTAACTCCTATAAATTAATAGTTGGCTTGACCAAAATACCTACAATTATGATTTTATTTTCTTAGTTGACATAAATATCATGTTGATTAGGAGTGTGTCGAGGGAAAATTTAAGAAAAAGAATTAAATCCCTTCTTGGTTTTGTGACACATAAATTGTTGCGGAACCACTTTAATGAAACCAATTATTCTGGATAGGAGGGAATAGCAAATATTTATTTAGCATTTAAGTGTAGAAGTGGAAAGTTGGGGT